GATATCGATCAATATGCATGTTTTTTTTTTAATCGATAAGCTTTTTTTCTATATCATCCAGCCCTAACATACAATACTAATTTTCTAATAATAGTAACTAAAGGGACCATGTTACATACTGATGTTACGTGTTTCTATGCCAGTGGCTCACAAAGATGGCCCCTTATTAGCTTAGTATATACTATTCCTGTTTTACACTTTGCTTCTGGTTCTTTTGTTAGAAGACCAAAGGGTATTTCTGGGTTTACCAAAACAGACCAAATGACCAGAGGGTCTTTATTGCTTATCTGTGCAATGAGAAAACAAAGGAGTAATTTCTACAGTGGAGGTGTGGAGAGGAGGACAATAAGTCCATGATAAACGGTAAAAAAGTGCAAAACAGTGTTTGCTGTTGTTCTGAAGGCCTGGTTGCGGCTGTGTGTCCAAGTTGGGGGTTAGGTGCTGGGGGACATCAGAGGGTCTTTCCTGCTCCCCCTGGGGCACCTTGGATCTTGATTTGCCCGCTGGAAAAGGATGTGGGGTTCTGGCATGGAGTGTTCTACTGTACAGCAGCATCTGGGGGTCAGATCTTGCCTTGGTGAAGAGCTGTCTGGTTTTAAGGGTGTGCCGTGTGGAACTGGGTGATGACCGGCTTGCCTGGGAACTTATGGTTAGTGGTGTGGGGTAAATAAGTTGCCCTAAGTGCTGCACCAGGATCTGTGAGGGGGCCAGGTGTGTTTCGGCTCTAGTTGGCTGGCTTTTTTCAGATTGTATGGCCCCATCTCTCAATGGATGGGTTTTGGGGTCAGGTAGAAGTGTTTTGGGCTGCTCTCGCTCTCTTTGATTATCTCAAGTTTCCTGGTCATCTCTGGGCCCATCCTCCCATTAAACCCCCTGCCAATGGCTGGTGTCTAGGATCAAAGGTGTGCTGGTGGTTATGTGTTACCACAGCTGGATGCTCGGGTGTTTACTGGTCCTAGCGTCTGCTTGCCAGTGCCTGGACACCCTGACTCTGTTGCGTCTTTCATTGGGGGTAGCGTGCCCTTGGGTTTTAGGTCTCTATGCCAATGGCTGTACTGCCAGCTACAGTGACAAACCTTCCTGGGCAGGTCTTTAACACCTTCAATCTACCTTTTGAGCATTTTTCCATGGAGAAACATATGCACTCTTACATACACCCACAAGTGTTTGAATCAATGGTGCCAACAGAAACGCATGTATACAGTTAGCTGTGGATGCCACCATATAGATATTTTAATATTTTGCAATTATTAGTTATTTTATATTATGCATTTCTTGTTTGTATCTGTGATGTTATTCTTTCTCTAGCTCTGCAGGTCTAAAGCAAACTCTACTGGATGTCATCTTCTACTCTTTCTTATTCTGTTTTTACTACCTTTCCTGCCTTTTTACCTCACCTCTTCCCCTTTCTTTTATTTTTCCTTTTGAAATACATTTCTATATCAGTTACATTTGAAATAGTCCCAAAATGATATCCAATACCATTTTTTGCACTTGTATAAATATCAAGCAGAGCATTATAGTGAAAGCAGTAATTCTCCACTTGTGAAAGTAAATCCACTGAGATTGCTACACTGCCAGGCAGGAGGACACATTAAAAAAGAAGTGTAAAGAATAACAAATGCCAAGAGGGTAAAGACACAGGTACTTAAAAATGCAACATGAACTTTTATGTTTAATGAAGTAGAACCTAAAAGCTGCCTGAAACTGTCAGTGGGTGCAAGTTGGACATCTTTATGTTGGCTGATTGTGCCAGGTGCCAGAATTTTTTCAAGCACAAAAGGGACTAAGTAAACACTAGGAAGAATGCTTGGTTTATGTTGCTCCATGTTGTGTTTTTGTTTTTATATATAGGTGTTTGAATAAATGGATTTGCCTAGTGAAACATCACTTCCTGATCATAAGCCTAATTGCCCACTTTATTTCACACTGTAACAGATAAATGAAGTATACCAAATTATGTAAAGTTGATCTTAAATACAATCAGTTGTTGATATGTATTTTTTTTTTTTATCACATGTGGATACAAAATCAAGATTTAAACATTTTGGTGTAGGTGAACCTTTAGTTGTGCATTTTGCATCATCCACAACTTGTACAAATCTGCTCCTAATTTTAACAAAGGAGTGGGGTTATTTTCCTTTGGAAAGAAGCGGAAAAAGTGAAGTTTTGCCTCTCTCCTCGGGTGTCGCTCCTCTCTCCTTTCCTTCATCCTGCACTGCCTTCATGCTTTTTGTTTTTTCCCCCCTCAGCCAAAAAGAGAAGACTTGAGGAGCCCGGCTTGAGCTGAGCGACACTTCTCCAGGCTGACTCCTCCTGGAAAGCGCAAAAAGCCACAGTCTGTTTGGAAACAGACGCTAAAAGAGAAATGTGAAGATCCCGTTTGTTTGCTGGCATTCTCGGAGAAGTAAAGCGCTAACCTGGAAAGATGGCGTGGATACGGGCTTGTTTGCTGTTCTTCGCCTTTGCTTTGCTGGGATTTTTCCTGCTCTGTGTCCCGGTGAAAGGGGAGCCGCGGGGAGAGCAACAGGAGGAAGAGGAGGAGACCATGTCCTGTCAGGGCGCGTTTGACCTCTACTTTGTTCTGGACAAGTAAGCCCCCCGATATTATTTATGGCATTGTTACTTTCTGCTAGCTGCGCTCTGCCATGCAGCAGCGCCTGGACGCGCAGAGCGCATCAATCGGACGTCCGGTTTTGGCCTAATTGTGCTGTAGGGAAGAAAATAAAAAGTATGGCTTTGTTGGCCATTTATAAGTTAACATCTGCTTATAAGATAGGTTTGTTTTCTCATATCCTGTGTTGGGATGAAATCTCTTAAGTCACAAAAAATATCCTTTTCCTGGGGGTAGAAAAAAAAACAATTCTGAGGAACACACCTAGAACCCATTTTCTTTGTTTTTGGTATGATAAAATATGCAGGCAGGCCTCGGTGTTTTTTTGTTTTTGTTTTGTTTTTTTAAGTCGGGGGAATAATCTGGATTTTTGAGCGTGTTTTTCCTTTTGTCCTGCTAAAAGTGGTGAGTCAAACAGGCTTTACCCACGGGATGTGGGCAGGGCGCAGGATAGAGTTTCAGCCTGATGACGCCTGCGGACACAGCTGCACAAGCGCTGCTGCATGTTTGCATGGTCCCTTCAACTAGTCTTCTGCACTTATGCCCTGATTTAAGCTGTTAAGGGATGAAGGATACATGCATAAACCATTCTGTATTTAACACTTAATCAGGAATCATTATTTTTAATAAAGAATATTAATTAAAAATCTTATTCATCAGGAAAACATAAGGTATGAGTGAATTTTCCAACAATCCTTATCCTTTTCTTAAGCTCAGGTGCTTTACTCATTTTATTACTATAAATACCCCGTTATGTAGAGTTCTATCTGTCTGTCAATACATATTCCTGTTCATTTTCTTTGAGTTTCACTGTTTTGAAGGAAAATGTGAAGGAATGTTTACTGCAGACTTCTGTAGAGTTTTAGAGGTTTACATTTAAAGTCCAAAGTTACAGAAATGTACGAAATGTTGTCAATCCATCTAAAAAAAAATTGAAGTACCAGTTGCTACAAAGCCATTTTTAACTATTTTTTTTTTACTTTTACAGACCAATTAAAATTGTATTAAATAAATGTTGAAATCAATGATTTAGATATTGAATTGATTAGAAAAAGGCGAAAATTACACTTTTTTAAAATATATTTCCTAAGGTGCAGTGCCATTTTTTTGGTATGTTTATGTATAAATTATGAAACATGGAATTTGGTTGGATGATGGGTGGAGTAAAACAGAGAAGAAAGCTTGGAAAAAAAAAAGATGAAAAAAACAAAAGACTTTTGAAAAAGAAATCTGAAAAGTGTGGCACACTAATGTACCAGGGTCTTGTATGTGTTTTGTTTGAACTCATCTTGTGCTGCTGCATTGCTTTTGTACAAGTCAAATTTCACCGTTGGTCTCAGTGCACAGAAAACTTGTTTTGTTTTGTTTGTTTGAGATTTCCAAAAAAAAAAAAAAGGAAGGATTTTTTTCCTTTTTTCTCTCTCTCTTAAAGAAGAACAACAGGTCAGTGGGTGTTACCTTTATAATCCCCTCCCCCAGCACACTTGCTAAAAAAGATGAAAACAGTTGGTCAGTATGTTTAGCGGTATTCCTTTACTGTTTTACCTGTCAGTACCTCAAAGTGAACTGTAACTGAGTTGTATAATTTCAACAAGATAGCCATATTTTATTTAACCTTGTGGTAAAAATCCCGTTTATTAAAATTTTTTTATTTATTTTTTATTTCAAAATGGCATCCAGACTTCATTAGCATTTTTTGTTACCTGCCAAGTCTTTTTATTCCCTTTAAAATCTTTTCCAATTACAGTTCATTCTGAAAAACAAGACAAAATCAGAACTAAGTCAGATGATGGACAAAAAATACCAATTGCAACATTTCACACTAGCTAGGGATAATATTGACATTAAACATAATAAAAATGGATGTTGGCATTGTATTTTAAGAGAGGATTGTGATTCTCTTTGAACAACTTTGTTTTTTTTGGGGGGGTGGGGGTTCTTAACTTCTAACACCATTATGACTAACCTTGCACAGCAAAAATGCTTTGCAGACAAGGCCAAGACAAAAACCACACAGCAAAAAAAAAAAAAAATCCCCAGAAAACCCAAACCCCAGCAAAATCAGCACTATGGTTGTTTTTGTTTTTAAAATGACATCCAACTCTTAGTCTTATATGTTACGGTGTGCTGAATATGCTGTTAAACTTATTACTACAACCTGAGGTAGATATCAGATACAACATCTTCTAGAAGATGTATTGCACTGTTCCCTCTGTTAAAACCTAGAACCATGGTGATGTGACCTTTGGAAAAGATGTTGATCATCTTCAGGCATGGGGAGGTTGCTGCATTTCCAGAAAATGCTGCAACCTTTGCTAAGATTGCAATAACTCTTGACCACAGCAAGGTCAAACCCTTAATATAAGAATGAAAATGATTACTTTGCAGATTGTAACCGTTTGCTCATCCTATTCCCTTTTTTGTTTTATTACTGTCAGGTTTGAATAAAAAAAAAAAAAAAGATATATTAAGTTAGACTTTTTTTTTAAAACAGCTGCTGTACATAGGCTCAAAATCTTATATCCCAGCACTACAGTTGAATCTTTATTTTTCTGAACTTTAAAATGTAAATGTCAGTGTTAACATGTATTATGCCTTTAAAGGAGAAACTTGCACAATTTAACAAACAAATAAAAAATGTTTTTATACCAACATCTTCATTTGGCCACTATGAAATGTGAAGGATTCAGACTGAGTGACATTTAACTTGGGTTTTAGAGATGTTAGTTGATCTTTCAGATTCCCACCTCGACATCTGTCTGTCACTGCTCAGTCTTTACCCTTTGCTTCAAAAAGTTTAGGTGGAGCCCGGGGAGTGTGGGACATCATGCATCATGCCTCTGGTTTGTGTCTGGAGCTGCGAGCATCATCAGGCCTTCAGGAAGCAGCTGATCTTTCTCCTGAGATAGCTCTGACTTGTCTGCATGCTCTGCAGATCTTAAATGCCACCCAGTGACCTAATCTAACATTTTGGTGACAGAACGCAGAATAAAGCTGAATCTAGTGAATGTGCATTAACCTTTTTTAGACATCACCTCATCTGTGTTTGTCTTTGCCACATATTTGACTTTGGCTGCAGGAGAGGGTTATGAGCTCATAACTGTAAGCAACAGAAAAACGAAATTACCATGAGTTCCACTTTCTCAAAGCCATGTCTGATCCACACTTAAGACCAGACAGCAGTTGTTGTTTTTTTCCCTCCTAGTCTGGTTCATCGTAAATCTAATAATATAGGTTATGTGCTGCAATGAGGTGAACCGAACTGATTTATGTTCTCTGTTTAGGGATGGTGCAGTCTGGCCATCAGGACCTAAAAGTACACGAACCAAAAAAAAAAACTATTCTAAAAGAAATGTTGAGTTTTCTTAAAGCTTTAATTTTACCAACAAAAAATGCTTTTTGGTACCTTTGATCTGTAATTTAAAAGTTGCAGTGACAAACAACCTTTGTTTTTTAAATATATGTGTAAACTAGAATTGAGTTGTTTCGTCATTCTCATCTTTGGATGAAAATAAAGGATCACTATCCAGACTGTTAAGTATGGTGGTGGCAGTATCATATTTTAGTGATGCTTTGCTAAAGGAGGAACTTAAAATTAAAAAATGGTATCTTAAGGAAAGAATATTATCTAAAAATACTTAAAGGAATAGTACACCCAAAACATGATTAGCCTTCATTTTCTACTCACCCCCATGCTGAACAACACTCTGGAGTACTTTTTTGATATCTCAAATGCATCTGGAGATCTGGGAGGCTTCTTGCTGTCTGCTGACATTCAAATAATGGAGGTCTATGGTGCCCGAGACAGAAAGGTCCATAAAAGTCCACAAAAAACGTGTCAATATTCCACCATACTGCTCGTCCAATGTATTCCAAGTGTCCTGAGTGGGTAGCATCCAGAATTTACTCGAAACGAAGTCATTTAGAATGTTTTTAGAGCATAAACAGTAGTGTATAGGATTTCCTGAAAGCGCGCACATGCGCGTTCACGACGCTACGGAAGCCGGCAGACCAAACCAGATGAAAGTGCGCATTCAGCGTCTGCTCTGCCAATAATGCAAGCGTAGAAGAAGAAATGTGCTGTTTACCTGTGCAAAGAAAGAAACAACGAAAGAAAAATGTCTGAGGACTTCAGTGTTGAGGAAGAGCATGAGTTCTTTGCCGAGCTGAAATGTCAACAAATTTGAAGCTTTGAACAGGCTCTGAGCTTCCAAGGAAGCTGGGTTGACCTGCTATTAAAATGTGTGTTTGAGCAAGGCTGCTAAAACAAATGTCACAGATGCATAACTTCTAATTGGAGAAATGGGCCAAAATGTCAGCAAATTGTTGTGAGAACCCAACGTGTTTGACCCAAGTTATGCAGTTTGCCAAATATGACATAAGTACATGTAAACCTCTAAATTTAAAGTAAATCCATCATTCTGCCATTAAGCAATGACAAAATAATATGGGTAATCATAACTGACCTAAAAAAGGGAATGTTTAGTTTCAGTCTAAGAAAAGAACAATTTTGTCTTTTTAAACTCGGTGTAAAAAAATAGTTTAGTTCTTTTTTGTGCTTGTGCTGCTGAGTTAACATGTTTAGGTTTTTTCATCTGCAAAAATATTGTTTTAAAAGCAAGTCACTATGGCCCACATAAAGACTGATACAATAAACTAAAACATATGTATCAATTTTCTACATCTATTTACTATGTTTACCTTTTGCAAATGGTTGAGCACTAACGATATAAAGTTGCTGTCTTACTGTTTGCTACATGTCGTTTAGGCAACATTTTTGTTATGCTTAGCTGAGAAGAAAAACAGCTGGACTGTTTTAGCTTCATGTGATTCTTATCATGAGAACCGTAGATCAGATTATTGTTAAACATAACTAAACAAAGTTTGACATTAAGATTGAGATCTACCAGGAAACTCCTCCTGCTGCTTGTCTCTTCAGCAAGTATTTCCACAGAAGATAATAGAGAGGGGAGTCTAAAGTTATATGGAAGGAACAAGTAATCAAACCCCGGCTCTGTGTTTCCCTTTGCTGATGACCGTGTAAAATTCTCACAGGTTTGCTGCTAAAGGGGTGTAATGTTGCTTCCTGTAACACACATTCAGACATCTCCTCCTGCTAAGTGATAGTTATGTGTCCCCCTGTTGTGCATGTCAAAAGTCTTATTTTACTCTAGCGGATGAGCTTCCACCCTGTTACTGGCGTGTGCATAGTGGGACCATCTGTTCTCCTACACACAGACCTACACACACACACACACCCACACACACACACACACTCTCTGTCACTCTTAACACAATATGCACATGGGCCAGCTGCTTTCTACACGGTCCCTGCTCAAGGGAGACTGCAGCATCTGTCCCTGTCTAACCTCAACCCTGTGGTCCAGCAGCAATTAGCTCCCATTAGCATCCCTGTGGGAGAGGCATTCATTAAATAGATGGGTGTCTTTGTAGCGGGCTGTAGAAAACTAACCAGCAGCCCACAGCTGAGTTACAGTCAAAACTGATGGAATCTTTCTTAATTCTCTAAGGAATGACCTCTGTTTAATGATAAAAAAGGCCGCAGCTTTATACGTATACATCTGGGATGCATTGAAGTGAGCACTATCTGCATGTTTAAGTGATTAACCCCCTGATTGACCCTAATCTAAACACTTGTAGTTGTGTTTTTTAATTAGAGAAAAATGTTGATTTTTCAGATCTGGCAGCGTGAAGCATCACTGGCATGAGATCTACTCCTTTGTGAAGCAGCTGGCGGAGAAGTTTATCAGGTAAAAGTCAGGATTATGCATTTAAGCTGCTGGTTTGGTTTGTTTCTGTCTTTAATGATCACTAAATTGGAATAAATGTGTGTCTGCAGCCCCATGCTCAGGATGTCTTTCATCGTTTTCTCTACACACGGAAAAATCATCATGAAGCTGACTGAAAACAGGTAACTCCCATCCATCCATCCATGCATCCATCAATCAAGATTTATATAGCTCTCATCAAACATCTATTTGTTGCCTTTACCCTGGATTTACCTAAATGAAAAACATTCATGTCATGGTGACTCTACTAACTCTCTTCTACTTATCTAAATAAGAACTTCCCTTCAGTTTGTTTGTTTTCATTATCTGTATTTCTGTCTTCTACCCCCTAAGGGACGCCATAACTGAAGGCTTAAGGGCTCTGAATGAAGTTGTTCCTGGAGGAGACACATTTATGAACCTAGGCCTGCAGATGGTATGGTTATTTTTGGGGAAATCGCCATTCTCAATATGGAACAATTATTTATATACAACAAGGTTTTAAATCTCACAGAAAATAATTTTTTTCTAAGTTGTTTGTGAGGAACAATGTATTTATTTAAGAAACTAGAAAAGCTGAGAGAGCGCAGACCTTCGTCAAGCAGCACATTTTGCCCCAGACTTAATCATTACCAAAATGAAATGATTTGTTGCTTGGCATAAAAAATAAAGATCTCATTGAATCCATTCATAACTCCTCAAGTTATCCTGTGCACAGACTGACTGACAGACAGACTTTACTAAAATAATAATAGTAATAATTATCTGAAGAGATTATAATAAAGTTTACAATTTCATTTGATCATCTATTAACTAAACCTCTAAACATGAGAGTTAAATTTAATTGCTTATTTGCCACTCAATGCACTTTATGCATGTATGAAACACTTGAGTGTATTTTGTTTGTTTCTTAAGGAACCCTGTCTTTTACAGCTTACTTTGTGGTAACTTGCAGTGAAAGCCGCTTGTTTTTAATGACATTTAAACAGGCTTAAAGTAAACACGTTAAATGCTGACAATTGGCAAAAGGCAGAAAGGTCTGCTTGCTCTGAACAAAACGAGTTGGATGGTTTGCAGACAGAGGTTGACTCTCTGATATATTAGCACTTAGATTCTACAGGTTTGCTGCATATCAATAGATTGGAATTCACCATTAAAATGATGCATGAGCATAGTTTGTTATTATTATTATTTTATCACAGTTCGCTGAACTAAGCTGTTTTCCTCATCAGATTATGCTTTTTTTCTGTTTGACATTTATGCTTTTATGTTTAAAAATTTCTTAAGTCAATCAAATATTTCTTAAAAATGTACTGCAACAAAGATTAACAACAGTTTGATGTTATTAAAGCTTAATCACAATGTTTTAGATTATTTTACTGTCTGAGCTTTTTAATATTGACTGTTACCGTTTTTGCAGGCTAATACACAGATTTACCAAGAGAACCAAGGTAAGCTCCATCTCAAAAGCTTCCTTTTCTCAATAAAATCTAATAGCTAAATAAAACGTATGTTTTTCATGGTCATTAAAGGAACCGCCAGTGTTATCATCGCTCTGACAGATGGAGAACTTAAGGAAAGCCAGTTGGACTTGGCCCAGCGAGAGGTAACATGGAGGGAAGAAATCCACTGTGGCATTGAACTTTGTCAGAAACTATTGTTAGAAAGGGCTCTATAGAAATCTGTTAACAGATTTTTTTGTTTTGCTAAATTTTTTCAATTTAATTTTTAGTATTATTTCAAACTTGTGAGTATGTCCTGTCCTTCAGACAGGCCAACAATAGAATTATCTGTAAAATCATTGAATTGATCATTGCAGTAATTTTACTAGCCCTAGCTTTAGAATCACCATTGGTGCTTCTTTTTAAAAGAAAATAAATGAGTTATTTTTGTCTGACCAAACGTAACTCCTATTGTAACTGTTTGCGGAAGGTTGAAGAAGAATCACTTCTAATTCATTTCTTCAAGGACTGATGACTAAACTTTAAGCAAAGTTTGGGAAAAGGGACGGGAAGAGACTCAAGGTGTTGGAAGCTCTCTGAACATCAAACAAGCCGAGCTTGAACCTCAGTGGTGAAACAGTGCATGCTGTCACATGAGGCAGTATACTGTCTCAGAGCCAAGCATTACATTAGTTAAATATATTCAGGTCAGCAAAAGGCTGGCCTTTGGTTCTACTGATTTTGGGGTTTGTCTGAAAGCTTCTAACCTCTGATTTAGAACCTGAAAAATGAATGCTGTGCATAAGATTTAAAAGCTTTGCATTTGTCTTGGTTAAGAGAAAAATAAAGAGTGTGCCTCAAAATGTTAAAAACGTGATTAAAAAACTGGCAACTTATTATAGCTTCTGAAGGAAGGAAATAAACGGTGCTTACAACTGCAGTTCATAAGGGCTTCACTGATCGGGTGCAGCTTCTTTGTTTGATAAAACTTTTCTGTGACTTTGCCTTCGAGAACTGCTTCCAACCAGAACTCATACATCTGCTTGTTTTCAATGATTGATTAATATGGGCTATTTAGCAACAAAGGGAAGAATGGGGCAAATATTTTCCACCCAGAGAGTTACAGGAAGCCTAATGGTAGCCAGTCAGAGAGAGTTCATCCCCAGTGAGTCTTTAGAGCATTTCAAAGATGTGTAAATTAAGAAAAAAATAACATCTTTGTTTAACCTTAACAATTTCTGCAAGGTAAATTATTAATTTTGAGTTATTGTGGGTTTTTTTTACCTTTATGTTTTCATTTCAGGCCTTATGTATCAATATATAAGGTATAGTACCTTATATATTGATACATGATACAAGAAAACCCAAGAATATCAGTAAAATCTCATTACAATTCAGAGAATTGTAAAGCTTTAAAAAAAACATGTATTTTATTTAGGCTAAAATTTTATTTAGACAACACATTAAAACCGGAAAGCAAAGTGACAAAAGATGAATACTTTAAAGTCTAATAGTTGATTCCTCCTTCAGCGTGTAGCAAAGTATATTTTAGTAAAACAGAAAATGGCTAAAGCTGACCAGATTTTGCACCAATCCTTGCAGGCACAGAGAGCCAGGTCTTTGGGAGCCATCGTTTATTGTGTAGGAGTCAAAGACTTCAACCAGACCCAGGTAAGATCTACATAGAAATAGAATGTTGCAGATGCACTAAATAAACAACTAAGCCGGTTTTCTTTTTTCTATATTTTCTAGCTTGCAACTATTGCAGATACCACGGAGCATGTGTTTCCAGTAACGGGGGGCTTCCAAGCCCTCAGAGGAATCATTAACTCGGTATGACACACACATATGCAAGCCCACATCTATGCTATAGAAATACTTGCCCACACAGAAAGGCCAATTAAAGCATCTTTCACCCCTAAATTTCATATGGCAGATCATTAAGAAGTCTTGCATTGAGATTCTGGCAGCGGAGCCATCCAGCGTGTGCGCAGGAGGTAAGAGCCGTAGGAGTCATGGTCAGCTGGGGGTGGTGGGGTGGTGTGTGGGATTGTGTCAGTCATCAAAAGCATTTTGAGTGGAACATGTGGTTAAGTAATTGGATGGATGCTTATGACCGCAGAGCGACAGACAGCGTATTGTCACTCACAGCTAGGGGAAATTAGGGAAGCTCCTTCAGCACAGCGTGTGTGCAAAAACTCTCTTAAGCATGGCTGCATCTCTGGCCTAGTTTGCCACATTGGATATGCTAAACAGACCTTTGAGACCTTGGGACCCTCGTTGTCTACCGCTTGACTTCCAGCAATCCTGCTTTCTGTCTGACGTTTAAAGAAGCCAGAGGAAGGAAAATGCTGAGAGAGATTCTTGAGATGCAGCCGACACAAACAATCTGATATGACCTTATTAGGACTGTAGAGTAGAGTACATCTGCGGGTCTGCTACCAGGGCTGCTGATGGAGATTACCTTCCATTATCAGATGTGAGAGATTAGAGAAATATTTTAGAGGAGGGTTCTAAAGAAAATGATTTCTCTGGAATATCACAGATTAAATAAAAACATTGTTATCACCAGATATAATTACTGTTGTTGGTTTCCTGCCAGAGTCTGGGTATGTGTCACTACACATGTGCCTAAATATCTTGCTACAGCCTCATTTATTATTCGATTGATGAATCTCCTAATGTTCAGTGAACTAAGAAACCGAGAGTCCAAAGCCCGATGTTGGCCTAATTAGGGTAGATTATAACAACATGCCCGCTTTTTAGACTGTAGTAGCCTATTGTATGTCAAGTCAGACCTGGAAATATTTGTTTAAGCCCCTGCTAAAGATTGTTAAGAAGAAAAATAAAAAGCTTAAAAATGTACCTGTATTTTATTACAGTAACAAAAGTAAACACTGAAAAGTTGTTTCATAAAATAGAAATTTTGCAATCAATGAACCTGCTGAAAATGTCTGCAATTTTCTTGCCAACATCTACACTAAGCGGGATTGGGGGGAGAAAAAAAAGCTAATTTCTTTCCTCCTATCACAACAATAGACATGTGAGTCATCTGAACTCTACAGGGATCAACTCAGACAATGTGCTTTGTTCAGATTAAGATCTAGCTTTTTGGCAAAAGATATCTCTACTAAGATTGGCGTAAAATGATTAAATTCACATGGGGGAAAAAAAACACATTATATAGGCTGTTAGGTACAGTGAATAATCTGTGATGCTTGTTTACCTTGGAACTTCAGGGTGCAGGAGCTCATATATTAATTAAAATCTGTAAATGTTTAAACTGGAAAGAGTTCTCTGCTGTTTTTTTTTTTTTTAACAACATTCATTTATAAGATAAAAGTCAGATGATCCTGTCTTCCTATGAAGAGGTAAAGTAAACTCTGTGTCGTCATAAGAACATAATTCTGCTGCCCAATCCGTTATTTCCTTCACTTTCCAACAGAGAATCAGGTGGTCATTTCTAAGCCTACATCTACATCCTTTGCATTTATATATTTTCAAACATCCTGACATTCTGCTTTTAAGTCATAAACGTTTCTGTTTTCGTCTCTTCTTGTATTTAGGCACATATCATATCAAACACTTTTTGAGCTAAAACATGATTGGACACTCTGTAGTCTGCAGCAGACACACACACAGGTCTTGAAGCACATAAACACATGTCCCTCATGTTGATGTGAAGTGACCTGACCGAGCTGCCTGCAAACAGGCCATCAGACTGGACAGTGAACACCGGGCCGCACTATCCGACGTGACAGCACCGATTCCCCCTTCACAACACACACACGCAAAGACAGGAAAGCTTGGGTTAAGCCTGAGATCCAACATGACAGCAGAGATTGCTGCTTTCATTAATGTCTGACCCTTACCTCCCTGATTTCCTTTCCGTTCCGTAGCCCTCCCTCCATGTCAATGTCCTCTCTCACTAACGTGATTGAAGACACGCCGCTCAGACAAGTCATGCCATATTTTCTACATGCACACACATGCTCAAACAAAAGGACAAGCATGCATACTCGCACTGAGACCAATCACATCCCCGTCAGGCGTTCAGGTGTAGATGTGAAGGGACTTGTGGTCACAGCAGCAGGCAGAGAAGAGCAGAGGCACGTGGGTGGTATGTGTCAGCGGGGTAACACCAGCCTGAGCCCAGCATGTGTCTGACAGGACTGACCTTTCAGTCTGTCATTTTTCAGCATTTAAAGATAAAGTTCATTCGGACATTGGTTTAGAAAATGTTTAAAGGTATTTGATATATTGACAAGTTGAAGGTGTGTCAAAGTAACTAATGTTTAGTTTTATCGTTTAAAAAGAACAGCAATACCGTATAATGTTTGTAATGTTTCTTTTACAACCATATGAGATTGGTATTTGTAGTAATAAAGTCAGCTAAAATATATCTAGGTATTTTGTTATATTGCAAAATGGGCTTTTTGATGGTAACATGCTGTGTTAAATCAGGTAATAAGCACCTATTTCTCTAAAGCTCTATAATCATATTACATTACTGTATGAGTCCTAATGGCTGCTCACATACTACAGTTACACACGAACTTAACCCGGATGAAAATCAAAGCCACTGACTTAATCCATTTGTGTTATGACTGTTTCTACATTAAATTCATTAACAGGTTCCAGTCAGTAGAACAAACAAAACCACTCATACAAAAATATAAAAAACAAAAATAATAAAAGTATAAATTCATAATGTATATCAAATCTATAAGAATGCATTTATAAAAATAAAAACAAATTAGTGTGAATTAAGAAACTACTTTATCAATAATTAAAAGTCTTACTGTTCATAATGGTCCAAAGGGCAATCTCAGAGCCACTCAGTTTTGGTCAGGTCACATTTGCCAGGACTAAGAAGGTATTTTTTTCCCCTCCAGCCCTTTAGGTGGTGGTAATATGTTTAAAGTGAGTTTGCTGCCACAAAAAGGAAAATTAGAAACTTCCAGCTAAGATAAGATAAGATAGATCTTATTGATCTCACAGTGGAGAAACTTGTCAAATTGGCACAATAGTCAAAAGAAGTTGCAAAGGAGCAAAAGGTGCATGGAGTATATACAGTGCTTCCATATATATCTATATATATATAGATATATAGATATATATAAACTGGGTCTTTTATTTAACAGGTTATTGCACAGGGCATGAGATAGTGATTGCACGTTAGTTATTGCACAAGCTCTTGCAGTTACAGCTCGGCATTGTAAAATCTGATGGCAGCATGGATAAATGAGGGCTCCTTTTTTACAAACGGTCTAAAAGTCTTTCACTAAAGGAGCTGCTCAGCTCCTCTACAGCTAGCACACAGATCTATGTATTTCAAGTACAAGTAAGGACTTTTCCCAAACATAGGTTAGAGTAAAGTCCTGAAGCAATGCACTCTGAACAAGCAAGCCTTCAAAGGGAAATAAAAAACTGATACACTGGAATGAAACATCCAAATCTTTGTGGTTAGTGCAAAGGAGAATCAAAATAAAATCATAATATTGATTGAAAATTATCACAATCTTCATTTTTTGGTAAAATCGTCCAGCCCTATTTGCAGCTTCTTGTCACATGCTGATGTGCCCATGAGCAAGACACTTAAACCTAAGTTACCTTAACCTCTGTGTATTGGGAAGTGTTCATTTGAAAAGTGGATAGATAAATGTGGTCTTAGTGTAAAGCTTTTTGAGTGGCCAATACGAATAGAAAAGTTGTATAGTAGTTCAATTATAGAGTTTATATAGTGTGTGAGTATGTATATATCTATGTGTGTGTGTGTGTATGTTTTTAATTGAATCACATCACACCACGTCACTATATTTTACAGTAGGCCTACATCTGTTTCAGAAGACCTAGGCCATGGTTGGTTCATATTTCCTGATTAAGCAGTTTTGAAAGAGACGCATAGCCTTGTGCTGTAAGTGTTAACACATTTAAAATCTGATTTTAGTGGAGCAGGAAATCAAGTGACCGACTGACATGCTGCAAATCATTCAACATCTGCAGCTGAGTGCTCACACACACATGTTGAACCATTCAGTATGATGACATCAGCTCTGTGCACTATTGTAGGACATTAAAAATGCAAACTAAAAGAAGTATTAGTTTTGCTGAAGCTGGATAATGGTTTTGACGTTTAAAACCATGGATATGGATAATCTAAAGTGAGTCTCTAATTGCAACTTCTCTCTTGTTTACATTTTGTGCTTTTTGTTTTGCTATGAGCTCTGCATCTTCGTGCAAAAATGTGCTTTATAGTTTTCATAGCTGGCTGACCTTTAAAGAACTATTGCCACGTATACACCCACTCCCTCTCATCTCTTTATTCAGTGATCTTCACGCTGCAGCTTTAAATGGTAAAGGTGTGGCAAATGTTCACTTCTATTAGCGAGGATAGCGTTAGAGGAAACCGCAGTGCACATGCAGAGACCACAGAGACACACACTCACATTCCTGCTTGCAATTACAGAGGATAAATGCTTACACATTCCTAAAAAAAAAAAATAACACAATCCACATTTGCACATATGGGCAAAGAAATGTTTGCCTCCACACACGCAAACACATGTGTGGATCCTTGTCTGCTATTGTGCCATAGGTAAGGTCAGACCTACTTTGACAGTGCTGTTGTCAGCCTTTAAGGCATGTTTTTAAGCAAGCAGTTCCCCCCTCGCTCTTTAGCATATGCTGGGTAGCAGCCACATAGACACTCCAGCATATGCTGGCAAGCTTCTGTCAGTGCACTTTAACAGCGCCTTGGGGAGACTAAAGGTCAGAGACACACACACACATGAACACACACTCCTTCTGGCTACTGCTCTGTCTGGGATGTTTGTGAATAGCAGCACTTTTAACATTAGCACCATTGGAGCATATTATGGGCTTTCCACACATACACGCACAAGCACACAGATGTAAACAAACAGCAATGAAGCATGCCTGGGTTTTCAGCAGCTATAGTTCAGCACATCAGAGCTACCAAATGGCTGCTATGGTTACCATAATTATACACTAAAAGATTTAGTTTATGCATAACAAGAGTTTGAGAGCCATTCAGATTTTTTTATTTATGACGATCTCTGATAAAAATACATGCATAAGTGTCTGTCTTGTCACTCATTGCTGATAGCTGCTCTCCTCTTCTGTTTTATAGAGAGATTCCAAGTAGTCGTTAGAGGTAATGGGTTTCTCCACGCAAGAAACATAAATCAAGTCCTCTGCAGCTTCAAACTCAATGATACACACACTGTGGGTAAGTATGCTAACTTAGACATTCACTTACAGAGACTTGTACATTTTGACAGGACAAAATGAAAGAGATGTCCCTTAGGTGGCTGAACTGAAATGTGTTTTGTGCTTTTATACATACAAGGTATTTATATATTTTTGTTGATAAAAATTTTTACTTTTATTATGGTACACTGTCTTGCAAAAGTGCTCACTCCACTTATATCTATATTACATCTAAGTACTTGAAACAGGACCCCTTTACCCTGCAAACTATTGATTTGTGGGATAAAATGTAGTTCATTGATCTGCGTTTATAAAAGAATGGAAGAAGAAAATAATCACTGAAAGGCAGCCTGGGATAAAATAAAAAAGGGGGCAAACTTCACGCTGATCACAACATCCCCACAATGAGACATAGTGGTAAGAATGGCAAAACAAAAACTTGACAAACTGCAAAATATCTGCTTCTAAATAAGCATAACAGGTAAAGACAGACGTAGACTATTTCCACCTGTTATTGAAGCAAAATGTCATCATTCAAACTGTTGTCTAAGGGGTGCTGAATAGATATTCCAAAAAGAATTTAACTTAAATCCCACCCAATGATTTAATCTGAAAGACTAGTCGCAGCTTTCAGATAAACTCTTTAGAAAATACATTAAAGTTGTATGTTGTAAAGCAAGCAGATGTGGAAAAGTTCAATGTTTGCAAGGCACTCTATGTCTACAGATAAGATCCATGCATTAATATTCTGCCATATCTTTATAGAAAAAACTGTTACTTACAGTGACACCTTTCAGTTATAATCAGAGTTATCAAATATATGGCATTGTTTTCTGATTAGTTCTAATTGTTTATTTAAAATCTTTCTCAAATCTGCTTGTTTGACATTGATGGCAGCAGGGTGATAATCTTAATCCAGAGCCCTGTTATGAAAAATGTTCATCATGAAACAAGACATTTTCCCCCTGAAATGTATAGATAATTGATGACCAAATAACAAACCCTCATTTCTAACTTAACATAAACTGAAACATAATATTAGATAAACCTGTACTATTCTCACAATTGGGGAATTTCAATTGTCATGCAAGAAAGTGGGCAGTACAACGTCCTAAAATAATAAGAAAATAATCAAAGTTTATACAACAATTAACTTCAGTCAGGTTTGCTGGGAATTTATTTTTTATTTTTTTTCATTTTGCTTTGTTTTTAGATGGATTTGTTTTTCAGCAGTCAAATATGGATTGGTTAAGTCATCATGGGCCTCATGTCCAAAAGAGGGGGTTTAGCTTTCATACTGAATGTTTGTGGAAGGGAGAAAATCAGAAATGTTTATGTTTTGCCTGCCATGGTGAACAATGCTGTCAAGTCAGAGAGAGACTTTGACACTGCATTTTTCTTCACATGTTTTGTATCAAGTCAAAACACTTTATCTGCAGCATTGACCCCAATATTGTCATGTATACCAAATTTAATTTTAATTGAATAAACCCCCTCATAATTCTGTTAGGAGCCTGTTTACCACACACTATGGAAAGTACAATTGATGAATGAAATGATTCAACGTGATGCCAAAAAACCTCTGATTACATTTGAAAAATGGCACGTTGCTTCAATTTGGGATTTCATGTGTTTATGTTTAGTTTAATATATATTATGTGATTTTTGTTATTTATCAGAGCAACATATAAATAAGGATTGGATAGCTCAAGGATGACTGTTAAAAATACAACCTGTCAATCAGCTCTTTTTGAAAAGAGCGGAGGATAATGACAATCAGTGTCCCCGTTCCTCCAGGTTTCCCCCTTTTTGACACTGGTCAGTCTAAACCACCTAATTAGCAACATATCATGATGTGCCAGCAGGTCAGTAAGATCTCTGGACGGACTCTGGAAATGTCCTCCAGCAGCAAAGCTGACATCCTTCCACAACTACCCACATATTTATCCAGCTGTTTATGAACATATGAGATTGTCTACAGCCCAAAAGTGCCGCTTTAAGAGGTTTTTATTCTCTTCCTTGCACAGATTAATGTGCATTTAAAGACCAAAGCGGAGGAGCATTAACTGTTTACATCTGATCTAATTACTTTTCTGTTATTTTTGAGGTGTGCATGTTTATTTTGGGCTAAATGTGCTGTTTAGGCAATTTAAATACCCTTGGATTCAATAAAACTGAGGGGAGTGATGTCATTGGTATTAGATAGTGTTGATGCTTTATAGTTAGCTAATGTTCCACTGTAAAAAGTTTGCATTGCTGTCGTAGGTTTTTACAGCACCTCAAACGTTTGCATGAATTACCGCACACTTTCACGCTAAATTCATTTTTGCAAGTATTGCACACAAGTTTTCTCAGCATAGACATGTACATGCTTTGTACATGAGGCACCAGATCTGTGTATTCCATAAATTGTTTCGATTTTACCAAAGATTTTTCCCAGATATTTTTCTCTCTGTTTTTAAAGTAAGTAAAAGCACTGACTGTTTTTTTAATGAGAGCCACAGTGTTTATCGCTCTCAAAGTGAACAGCACAGACATTTTTGGACTTGAAAAACACCAGTCCATTTACCCGTTGGCCTGGATGAACAGCTTCCAAAGGTTTTGGCAAAGATTTGTGGTCTCCTCAGATTAATGACCAGCTTAATAGCCTGTGCAAGGAATTTGCAAATGATATACATCATAGCATGTATTAAAAGCTTTCATTGTTGATTATGATTCCTGATGCCTGTTAGAGTTTGTGCAAAGTTAAAAAGTCGTTTTGCATTTCACAAGAAAGCAAAATGATTGTGTGTTTTTCCTTTGTTATCCCCTTTGAAGATGAAAGACCTGCTGGAATAGAAGATACGTTCCTTCTGTGTCCGGCACCTGTCATAGAAGAAGTGGGGAGGTAAGATGCATCTCTTTTTTTGTGGCCCTGATATGTACCAGCTGCACCACAAGTTTTGTGGGGACTTACAAGACTTTTGTCCTTGAACAAATTAGAAGCAAAGTCATTGAGTGTCTGTGATCAATCAATGTTTGTCACTGCTAACGAAGCCAGACACCAATCACAAGGGGACGGCAGGAGTAGAGCCCAGGAACATGAGTTAATGAGAGCCTGCTTGAGAGGCTTTCTAGGTTTGATGTATTTAATCTCAGAGTGACAAAGTGTGAGCAGAGACAGCAGGCAGTAGATAGTTCCCTCTGAGGGTTTCCAGCTTTGCTCCTGGTGATTTATCACAGAATTATCTTTTTGGGGGAAAAAAGGAGCGACGCTTCTGGTGGGGCTCAGAAAAACTGGAGACCCAGCAGCCACAGCCTTCCCTTCACGGCTGCCCGCAGTCTGGTGCATAATTATACACTTGGGCCTGCAGCCTCAGACACCTCCTAGTCATCCTCTGTCTTGTTTCTGTCACTCAGATTTCTACCAAAGGTTGAGTTTTGTTGTCTCTTAGTTAAAAAAAAAAGTTAAAGGAAAATTATTCTTCTTGGCTGGATTCATAATTTTTTGAGTGTTTCATGCCTATAGTCTAAATAAAGCTGCAGAAAAGGGTGTTTTTATGATACATTTTGGCCACATGGAGTCTCCTTCCCTTTGAGCAAAGCAAAGAATCCCTACATGTAGCAGTAATGCCTTAAGGAAGCATCTATCCATGAAACAAAGGGCCCATCTGAGCAGAGTCAGCAGAGCTTAGCAGCCTGAGTGCTGCTAAAGAGGATGTCAGATGTGACTGGCCGAAGGGTCCAGAGTGAAGGCCAACATCTGGCTGCTGAGTTTAAGATGTAGAGACATGGCATCTGGCAAGCAAGCCACTGATAGACAAATATTGCCCTAACACAGTTAAAAATGTATATATTTTAGATTTTAATAGTGTATATTTTTTCATAAACAGTTTATTTCAAATGTTTGTCCCATTATTTCCTCACTGTTGGAAAACAAAGGTCTTTTCTATTTAAAACACTAATCCAGTTGTGTCTGTATTATTTGCTACATGGGCCAAAATGTAGTTTCTTGCAGGCCACAAAAATAATTTTGCTTTATAAAAAACATAAAACTACCCCAACCCCCTCCCCCCACACACACACTTTTGTCTAAACGCACACTTATTTAAAGAAACAAACAAAAACTTGTTCAAATTCCCTTTTCTATGAGGTGTTGCCTATGAAAAGAAAAAAAAAATCCCTTGAATTTTCAGGTCTTATTTGCTGTAAGATTAATTTAAAACCACAAAAAAAAAGCTTGATAAAAATTTTTTTTCCAAATTTTCCTATTTTCTTTCCCTTTTTTGTTTCTGTATATTTTTCCTAACATCAGTGAAAATTTAACCCTCAACATTGTTTTGAAATGCGTGTATGTAGTCTGACTCACTGTATTGGCTGTTAAAAATTTTAATGACATTCTTGATTTGCAATCTTGTCCCTGAAAGCTCGATTTTAATACAGCAGAAAATACAATTTAATACAGAAGTGTAGCATTCCCTTGTGATGAGAAAGTCTCTCCTCTGATATAAGGTTTTCAAAAAATATATACCGGTGTATATATATATATTTTTTTTTATTCCTAACTGAACACTTAGATTTTCCGATTTTGGTCTCTAATAGTTTTCAAAATACATAAAAACACAGGGTTTTCTAAAAGTATCTTGTCAATACATTTGAATACACCAGCTTGAAAATAAATTCTGTAATATTACAAAAGTCAAGTAAATACTGGCTCTTGATGATTACATCAAACTGCACGTTTTCCTTTTTTAAGCATGTTTTTTAATGCTGATTGTTCTAAACAGGGTATTGATATAAAATAGGTTCCCATTTTTCTAGTCTAACTGCAGCCCTCAATACCTCTAGTCCTAAAGACTTCCACTAAGAAACAGATTAATTGTGTGTGTGTGTGTGTGTGTGTGTGTGAGATTTAATGTCTTTATAATGTTCAAGGTTGTTATAAATCCTGCAGTAGAGGGCAGTAATCTTTATTGTGCCTTTTAAGAAAACAAATGTAATACATTAGAATTAATTTGTCACTCCTGTGGTAAACCAGTCATGTGGCCTGACAGAACATATTTCATGCCATAAATCAATGGGTGGTACCAACATGACCATGGCAGTGTACTAATTATTATTTTAGTTATCACTGAGGCAGAAGTCTACTGTATGTGCAGTTACAGAATAAACCCCCCATACACACACACCCTGCACACACACATACTCGTTCTGCTATTGTAGTGAGTTCCATGTCTTGACTCCCATTGATTTTTTTTCAACCTTTCTATGCCCTAATCCTAAAATTAACCCCCCTAACCATTAGCAAAATAGCTGTGGGGACCAGCAAAATGGCCTCACTTTGCAACAATTGGTCCTCAATTTAAAGGTGAAATTGGAAAAATTGTCCTCACTCTGAGGACTAGACTAGGTACATACATACACACACACACACACACCCATCCATGTTTCAATCATGCATCAATCTGAAAAACAATTATCTGTTTGGCTTTTATGTAGTAACTTAGAATTCTGCCAACCATACAAACGCATAATAAACACCAATACAAGCAGTTTTATGGAAACTCATTTACTACTCTCCAATTGCATTTTTAACCTTTTTGTGCATGCAGATTGATTAGCCTGAGACCTCCAATATGTAACAAGCTTGAGTACATGTTCATTCTCGTGCTCCTGGCCTCCTTTTCATGCAACAGTAGATTCTCTCCTACTACAGTGCGGACCTCTTTCTGTGCACTCATGTCAACTTTTGTAGATTTGCGAAAGGAACCAACCTGAGAAAATAAGCTGCCTGTGATTGGCTGCATATTTATTTATTAGATGGTTGATACGTTCATAGTGGCAGTGAATGCAACTCATTTTTAACCACCAGTAGTCCCTTTTCTCCTAATCTTCCAACCTCAGATCTGCTTTAATACAAGCTCTTTGTTGGTGCTAGACTACCACAGGTAAAAATAAATTTCTGCTGGTACTAAATACATCATGATGTTCCAACGTTGCACCATTCACTATTCTCATTGTGTTTTTAATGGCGTTATCTGACCAGACTATATCAGCATCAGAGTTTCATTTTTGTAAACAAACACCTGAACATTGAAGATGATTCTGTTTACAGACATGAAATTCAACTTTGGTTTTCCAGATATTGTTCAGGTATTCTACTGCCTTGTGTTCATCCTCGACAGCAAACTAAAACAGTGTCAATATCCCTTTTCTTCAGCAGTGGAGCCTTGCAGAGTGAGCATGTATGGAAAGCAGCATTTTGCATCATGTTACTTCATCTGTGGAGCAATATGTTTAGATTTCTTTGTGTGTGTCATTAACTTGGGCCGTCGCTGGCATCCGGTGTTAATTTAATCTCAATGGAAATATTAGAAAAACAATTTACTGAGAACAACGTTAATGTGTTCAATATTTATTTTAAAGACAATTCATAGAATTTTAATCTTTTTATTGAGTATTTAAAAGTTTGACTCTTTGCAAACAAGCTTGGAAAAGAGGAGTCACTGAAGTCCAGAAGAAGGAAAACCTCCTGCCTCTGAACTTTTGGGGATCTTGGGGTCTCCTTCACCATGTTTTTACACATAACCTAGAGAAAACCTTCATTCACCTCTTATTTGAACCAAGTAGTAGCAATGTCACATGTAATGAAGTCACTTAGGTTGCTGTTAGATAAATCTGTTTTGACTGGGAAGCTTCAGGATGCAGATCCCCCTCCTCCCCCACCTTCACCAACCTCCTTCTAAACAATATACCCACACAAACTTGCACAGGGCAAAGATGTAGACAGTGGGTGCATTGATGATTGATAGGGACTGAGATCTCTCTGTCAGAGTGGAGCTGATAGCATCAAGTCTACTGCCTGCCTGAAAGGAGAGCCTACCATTTTGATGAGGAAGCCGGCTATGAAACGGAGGGGATAGTGCTGTCTGTACCTCCATTTTCTTCTTCCCAAATCACTCAGCAGTCTCTTACCAAGGAAGTATGGATGGGTTATCTTAAGGGACGATCTAGAATGTGAAAAGGTTTTTTTTTCTACCATCCCCCACTCCCTGCTTCCTCTCTTCCTCCCACCCACCACCCTGCAGTGACCTCTTTGCTGTCTGTCCCGCCCAGATTTTAACGTAAAGCTCAATGCCTGCCGTTGTTTCGGCCTCCTATAAGAACAAGTAGCTGCTCTATCCTGACGTCCAACAGTCTTCTTCTGTGGTTTGTACTAAAACCTTCATGAACACAGGGCCTTTTAAAAGATTCAAATCACCTGAACCTTTTAAAATGTTCTAATATTACGTCTCATATTTTAAGTATTACATTGAGACTTTATGTAACGGGCTCAAAAATTGAAACGTGAGCGAAAAATTTTGAAAAATATGATTTAACAAGTGTGCAAATTAAGTTGATCTGTGAAGGCTTTAGATTTTTGTCATAGAACAAGCAGCCCGACGAAGACCAAGGATCACAAGTCAGTGTTAAAGCTGGAGAAGTGTGTGAATCTTGGGAAAAACTAACTATTAAAGTCAAGATAGGTCTTAAAATGATTTCCCACTTCATAGGGGACTTCTAATATACTAAGACATGTCCGTCTACCTAGACAGACACACACAGCCAGGAGAAGAAAAATCAGAGAAGCAACCTTCGGCTAACTTTGGAACAGCTGCAGAAATCCTCACCACATTAGAGCTCTCTTTAATAATATTAAAAACGAATGAACTGCAATGAGAAATTGCTTAACAAAGTATTTGGGAGAGCAGAATAAAAATGCATGCAATGCAGATTTGTACATAATGCACCTACAAAACAAAATCCCAGTATTTTACAAAATTAGATAAAATTTAAAAGGTATGAACACATTTATTTGCATGACACCTTATACATACATCCCACCTTATCTTTGCATCTTTTAAGATCTACCGGTACATTTCATCGACCAAAAATGTCTGTTTTATGCATGTCCTCCCTGCATATCTCCATACAGCATGGCCTTCTGGAGAATAGAAAGAGAGTTTGTCCTGCAGTGGTTTCTACATGAGAGTTTTGGGTCTAATCCAAGGATTGGAGATTCTTTTTGTGGGTGGAGAGCTCTTTCACCCCTCCATTTGCTTTAGTATGGAGTTTTGTCAGCACATTTGTGTGCTTAAAAAGGCAGCAAGTCCAAGCCCATTAGACAGAGGAATGTGTTTGGACGCAAGAAGAGTCACCACAGTCATTAATGTGTTCACACATGTTGGAGTGTTTTAAAATGACATGATCAGAGATGTTCATGGGCTGTTTTTTTTTTTTTGCTTTCTTTTTTTAGGGAGATCTACCTGCAGGTGAGCATGAATGAGGGCCTCTCTTATATCACCAGCTCTGTTCACATCACTACTACTGAATGCGTGAGTACAAAACACATGTTCATATCTGTCTCTGGCATACTGCCTTTTTCAAACAAGCTTTCTTCCAAATTATTTTCTCTCTTTATCTTGTCTTGTCTTCCTTTCTCTTTCTCCTCTGTTGTTTGTCATCAGAGGAGGCTGTGAGTACTTTTTATTCCCTCCCCCTTGTTTTTTTGGTTTGGCAGCAGTTGTGTGTTAGTTGAATTTAATCATCATGTTTTCGTTGTGTGTTTCTGTCTAGTTTGACGGCACCATCGTGCTGATTTCACTGCTCGTTGTGTTCCTGCTTTTGGCTCTGCTGCTGATGTGGTGGTTCTGGCCTCTCTGCTGCACTGTGGTAAAGTGTTTGCATTTCAGAATGATCATCGCATTGAATTCCCATTTTAAGATTTCTGACAGCATTTCAACCGAGTCTGCAGCCTTCAACTTGTTTATGTGGGTTTTTGTTGTTGCTGTCAGGTGATTAAAGAACCTCCGCCTCCTCCACCTCCAGAGCCAGTAAGTCAGCACCTTCATGAACCGGAGAAGATTGTCTGTTCATTTGATTATAAACATGTGGTTATTATCACCGCTTTGCAGAGAATACATAGTTGGAAAAGTATTTATCCCTTTTAACCTTTTAAATGTTTCATCACTACTCCAATCTTTAAGATATTGAATTAAATAGTCTATTTTATGGAGCCTATTTAAGCAGTTAATAGGGTCCACAGTAAATCCACTTCGTTGGAAGTTAATCTCGGAATAAATCCAGTGGTTTTTGGAAGTCCTCAGAGGTTTATTAGACAGAGGAACACTCCATTAAGTGGAAAAAGTGTTAGACAACTTCAAACCTACCAAAACACAGCCATCCAGCAGCAGTGGCAGACCAGGAAAGATCAGCTTTAATAGGAGAAGCAGCCATGAGTTCCACACTAACCTTTGGAGGAGCTGCAGAGATCCACAGCTCAGGGGGGGAAATTGATTTGATGGAAAAACTGTTAGTTCCAGACTCCACAGTTCTGGACTTTATTAAAGAAAGAAAGAGTAAATCAATAGTTAAAAGCAAAATGTAAAAGGTATACCATCATAAGATGCGACCAAAATGTAACATTTTGGTCTGTATGTAAAAAGTTATTGCTCGCTTTCCATCGGGTCCACTAGGCCTTGCTTTACTCCATCCCACCAATTTCGAAACAACCTCATTACTGCTTTTTCAGCCCTTGCCATCTGTGATTGAACATCGTTCTGAGCAGGGCCCAAAAATGCAGCTAACTGTACTGAAAAAACACATATGAAATGATTAGAAAAATTGGTGAAACAGTTGTGGGAGCATCCTGCTGTGTGGATCAGCTTTGCTTTAGTGGGATAGAAAAAGGAATGAAGCTTTAAACAGAAAAACCTGCTGTTACAGCAGGTTTTTTGGTAAGCTAGTACCTCCTAGAGACTGAGATGGTAGCTAAGATCACTATAAACTCTTCCTATTCTCTCTAGATGTTTTTAGGGTTGTTTTCCTGCAGTTTGGTGAACCTTTCTCCCATTCTTAAGCCTTTTTCCAAGGTTTTCTTCCAGGTTGCTACCATCTCAGTCTCTAGGAGGTACTAGCTTACCAAAAAACCTGCTGTAACAGCAGGTTGTTCTACAGATTTTTGGGTAAAGGAGTGTAGAGTTGGGAGGAAACTACAGTTTTCGATTGAGGATTTGTGAAAAATTTTGAAAAGCGCCATACTTTTTCCCTCTGCTTAAAAAGAGTGCACTGCTTTGTATTTATTGATGGCATAGAATTCCAATTAAGAAGTTTATAAATATGATAAGACAAAGTACAGAGACAATAAGGGATATGAATACTTTTGTAAGGTTTGCTGTGTAATTCACACTTGGTATAAGTTGCAAAATGAAGAATATGAGTAGCATCAACCTAAATGTGTTTATCAAAGGAATCCGATGAGGACGATGGGATGCCTAAGAAGAGGTGGCCCACAGTGGACGCCTCATACTACGGTGGAAGAGGAGTGGGTGGCATCAAACGTATGGAGGTGAGACCTCCTCCTCCCCAAGCTTACTTTGTTTCCAAAACACCAAAACGTATGTATCGAGAATCTGTTGCTTTTCCTTATAAATTCAAGGTACGATGGGGAGAGAAAGGGTCGACCGAGGAAGGCGCCAAACTAGACAAACCTAAGAATGCGATTGTCAAGATGCCTGAGCAGGAATTTGAACCTTATGAGCCCAAGCCTCGAAAACCTCCACGCCGCTCCCCTCAGCAGAAGAAGTGGTACTCACCCATTAAGGTCAGTGTGGTTCAGTTTGATGATTCGTTTATTTTTTATATTTCCATCTAACCTGCTTTTCTGGACCTTCCAGGGGAAACTAGATGCTCTGTGGGCTTTGTTCAGGAGAGGTTACGATCAGGTATCTCTAATGAGACCGCAGCCTGGAGACCAGGTGAGCCTGCTGCTAAAGCTTAGCTCAGCACACACAAACACTTTATGCAACACTGTAATTTAAGACTATCGTATAATTTTGAGGCTCCATCTCTTGGTAATAACCACCCAGGAGGATTTTAATAGTATGTTTTATTGTATTCCTTGTTCTCTCCTAACAATAGAGCATCTGTTGATCTGTCTTACTGATTTATAAATACCGTTTCTGAGCTACTAGTACAGGTCAGTTCAGGTTTATCTCCAATCCTGCTTACAGCCACACTCAGTCAAAGAGTTAGTAAAACACTGCCTCGTCAAAGCTGTGATTGTTTACACATTGTTTCCCCTGAAATTCCCTTTATATAACAAGATTTAAGTCGAGGCTTGAAAAATAGTTTACACCCCACCAACCCTTTTACCAGTCTTGTAGTGTCTCACAAAAGTATTAATACCCCTTGAACTTTTTCACATTGCAGCCAAAAACTTCAATGTCTGTAGTCGGGGGTCTTATGTGACAGACCATCAGAAAGTCCTGCACAATTGCATCATTGTTTAACTAAAAAAGGAAAAGTGTTTTTGGCTTATTTTCTTTTTTTTAATACCTGAATATAATTTAGTACAACCAAATTCCTTTAGATGCCACCTACAGAGAAACAGTGTTGGAAGGACCAGACGGGTCAGGGATGAAGTTATTTAAAAATTGGTTATAAACCCATATCCCAGGTTTTGAACATCTTTAGTGCTGCTCAATCTATCCACAATTCTACCAAGAATTGTACATCCATCATACCATAAAAGAGCAAAAAGTCCCATGGCAACTCTGGAGGAGCCCCATAGCTCTGCAGCTCAGGTTTGAGAATCCCTCTAATGAATATCTTTAAATAATAATTTTGAAAAAAATGTGGCCATTGGGAAAGAGTTGTAAATATAGTGAGAAGTTAAAATACAGGCTTAAGAAGTTCAAATTGCAGATTGCTAAAAGCAAAATATAGAGAACATGTATAAGGTGGTGTAGTGGTCAGAGGCCAACATGCAAAATTCTACTTCTAGCTAAAAACTAATGAGAAAAACGCAGGTTTTCTCATTCTGGACTTGATGGTGGTAGAATGAGGATAGGGATGCTTAAGTTCAGAAGGACTTGGCAGTTGTTCATAGGTAAAGGAGCAGGGATTCAATTTCCAGTAAATATACAGCTGGAGCTTTAATGCAGTGATCTAGATTAAAGGGTATTCATGTGTTAAAATGGCCCAGTCAAAGTCCCTATCTAAATTAAACTGGAAACCTGCAGAAAGACTTGATAAATAATGCTCACAGATACTCTCCATCTAATAAATAATGCAGAGTTATTTTTCGAAAGGAGAGAATAGGAAAGCCGTTGGAAAGCCTTATGTGAAAGACTGGAAGCTGTAGATGTAAAAGGTGGTTTTGGAAGTAATGATTAAGCCTATCTGAATTTTTATGCCTGTCTAATATTCTTAGATTTTTAACTCGTAAAATAAAAGTGAAATCAATCAATGAAATCAATCTAAAGTGTTGGTTCAAAATTAAAATTAAAATATCCTGATGGGTTTTAGGTCTAATGCTACGAAATGTGAAAATGTGTAAGGGTTACATATACTCTTCTTCACACGCATTTTCAGACATAATCACTAAACCACACATACAATGCTATTATAATTATGCAAACATTTGTATCTGTAATTTTTTTTACATCTACTGGATTGTCTAAATAAAATAAATAAATTCAAACTCTTGCAAGGCAAGAAAGAAATGTGTGCGTCAAGCAGAATGTGCTTTATTAAAACTGGCATCTCTGGCCCTGATTAGTCCTAAATCGTTCCATGTCCTCCGTTCCTCCAAGTGTCAGAGAACAGAAAGAGCTAAGTGATCTCTGTTTTCCAACCTTGACCCCATGAAGAGCATCCCATAACCCTAAAGTCATGTTTCCACCATCATACTGGTCGTCATGGTAAAACATCTGCACCATTGTGAATGCCATCATTGTCGCCTCACATATCACTTATTGATTTATGCCTCTGAATGCCATGATTCATCTTTACCATGTCTCAGTGTGTCTGCTATATGTGAAGTCTTTAAAACTGGTTAACATTGATGCTTTTATCCCTTGTGTCTGTGGTGGATTTCTCTTCTTTTTTCTCTTTTTTTTTAACAAGGCAGAACAAAAAGTGTCTTTCAGTGCAGAAGTTTCTGGAGTCTTTGTCAGTCACTTTCTAAGGGACTATGGTTCACAGAGCCATTCAGCGAGGACCCAACCCCCTTCACGCGTCATTAACTGAGCAAAATGAAAAGCTGGACGGAAATAAAATGGATGCAAAAAGCCCTTTTTTGTTCCAAGGGAGATGGTTGAGCAGAACTGGTTCTGAAAGTTGATGAAATCCAGCTCAGGTCCAAAATATTAGACTGAATCTGAGTGAATGGCTCATAAAGAAAATCCCTGTGGCTTTTTCAACAGCAGCTCTGAAAGAATCTGCTCTGCTTCCTCTTCTCATTACTCCTTAATTACTTGCTTGCAAAGGTCCATCGGTGGACAGTTTTTGTCACAACGGACACGATCCCTTTTTGCACTTCCTTATTTTTTGCTAATGAACGTGCATACATTTATGTGAGAGTTAGTTTTCCTGAGTGAATGTCACACAAACAGACAAAAGACCTTGAGGCATATGATGACTGACAAGATTGCATTCTTTTCCCTCCAGAGTTGATAGCACTGACAGAAATTAGCTGTCTGGACCAGAGGGCTGCCACCAAAATCTCCATCCTCACACTTCTTATTCCCTGCTCTTTTTTTCACCCCCTGCTTTTCTCATTTCTCCTCTGATTATATGATGAGGGTGAGGTGTTCAGTTAGTTGAGCAACATTAAATAATATTTTTTTTTTATAGTTCTCTGCAAAGGCGTTTATGTTCCTAATCCACTTTTATTTTTTCATATCAAAACCACAAAATTTGTTTTTTAGTTACACAGTTTTTCATTAGTGGTTTCTAGATTCAGTTGCACTTGATTTAATTGGAGGCATTAGATTAAATGGTGTAAAAAAAAAAAAAAAAAACTTTTTAGAGTTGTATGTGAAAACCACACATCTGTCACTATACTAGAAGAAAGAGTATGAACGCAAGTCTTTTTCAACACAGTGAATGATAATGAGATCTGTGTTTATGTAACATTTCCTCTATAACCAGTGGTAGGAGGGAATGGGGAAGCTTTTAACTTAATTTTTGTGTGTGTTTTTTTGTTTTAGAACACTAATATACAACAAATTTCATCTTAAGGCTGATTTAAAATGCAGAAATATGAAATTAATGCAGTCCGATCTTATTGATAGGTTTCAAGTCTGATACAATCGGTCGTTTTCGGTTTAATATCTCTGAATGGTAATAGTGATTCCATGTAGAGAGTGACTTTGCAGCAATCTGTCCTCCTTCTGAACAGCAGAGGAAAATTTACTTTTTTGAATCATTAACTCTACAACAATCCCTCAAACTGAGCATGTATAAGACTTGATTGGAAGAGAAGATTTCCTTTTAACGGAAAAACCTCCTGCATAACATGGCCTGGTTGGACCAGCTGTCTGCCATCACTGACTCTAGGATCTGGTCCTTAATTAAAAGAATGTCACAATCTAAGACCCATTTAAGAAAATATATTGAGGTCTAAATTGATTTAGATTTTTATAAAGATTTGTGTTTCTAATGAAATAATTTTTAATATAGACCATAATTCTTCACTTTAATATCATTTTTCAAAGTTCTTTTGTGCTTGTTTTAAAATATACTGTAAATGAAGACTGACCAAGATAACATTATTGGCATGTTTATAAAGTTTTGCACATGAAAACATCTTATAATGGTTTCTAGCATAGGAATAAGAAATGCATTCCCTAAAAGAAAAACACAATGGATCATAGTTACCCATGCAGCAGTTTCCATATGTAAGGGAAGTGTAAGCTGTAAGGTCATGTGACCTGACAGGCTGAGCTGTCAGTTCACATGTGTCTCCTCTCTTTTTCTCCCCCCACTGTTCCCCTGCTATAACGGTGGAACATATGTGTGTATGTCGGTGGGGGGTTCCAGTAAACATCCACAAACAATTCCCCCCTGTATGTCTGAGTTAGAAAGGAGGCCTTATTAGTCTTTGAGGTTTAAAGCTAAAATAGAGAACAGATGAGGGATCCTGGAGGTATTGAAGGGTTCGTTTTTGTCTCAGAGATGAAGGTCTTGGTTTGAAACAATCTTTCAAACAAGAAAGGAGAAACGGATATTACAGACTAAGCAGGGCTTAGCAACCATTTCAATGTAAAGAACCATGTCCTCGATTTCTAGCATATAGGAAACCCCTTTAAAAAAAAAAAAAAAAAAAAAATTTAAATATAGTTTTACGGTTAAATGAAAGAACCAGGGTCTGATTTTTGGAAAATAATTAAATAAGCAGAGCCAGCAGACATCAACACATCACTTGCTGCAAGCTTTTAATGATCTTTGCTCTGAGAAAACGGACGGAAATAGAAAAATATCAGCAGAAGTTATTGAAAGTATAACAGAACCTGAAACTCTTTCTGTCCCTTTGAACAATTTATATATTTTTTTTTATCAGGGTATCTGACCAGCAACCTCTGAGACCCTTCAGACATGGAGTGACTACAATCTTACCAGGACCAATTAAAATGCTGAACTACTGTTAAGAATTTGCTCTTATATAACAAAACAGACTTTTCATCTTTTTTTATCTTTGATTTAAAATTCAAGTGAAACAATGTTTTTTAGATGTTAAGTGTTTAATTTGCAGTGGGGTAAAAGTGTGTTTTGTCAGCCATTGATTGTGCAAGTTCTACTTAGAAAGATCTATAATGTTCAACATGGATACACTTCAAGCTATGACAGAAAATGAGCAAAAAACATTTTAAGGAATCCCATTAAAGAGTTTATAAAGATTATTTTTTTTAATTATGGAGGAATATAAATATTATAAAGAAACAAAGGCTCCCATCAGTGACACACGATGCTGAGAGGGACTCAAATCTTGCAGTGGCAGGCCTGTCCCCCTGCTCCAGTACATTTCAAGGTTTGGCTGAAGTTTGCCAGAGCACATATGATTGATCTATATAAGCGTTGGATGGACGCAACTCGTCATGTTTGCAGGGCGAGGAATGCTAAGTTGCATCCTAAGAGCACTATATCTACTGTGAAGCATAGGGGTGGAAACATCATGCTTTGGGGCTGTTATTTCTGCAGGGGGCCACCGTGACTGATCTCTGTTAAGGGAAGAATAAAGTGGGCAATGTAAGGGGAAATTTAGGCCCCGTCCACACGAAGACGAACCCTGGCCTAAACGCACAAATTTTTCACCAAACCAGCCTCTCATCCACACGAAGCCGGCATTTCGGGGGTCTGTAAACGATCTTTTTTTTATTCAGCCTTCAGAGTGGGAAGATTCTGAAACGCCGTTTTCGCGTTTCCATCTTTAAGCTCTAACCGCATATTTTCTTTTACATGCATGCGTCATAGCGTCGCCTCTAAACACGCATGGGCGACACAGTATCACAACAACAATGGCGCCGTTGCTGCTAATGCTACTCACCCTGCTGTCGGGCTTACAACAGAATCTTCTTCTTCTGGAATATCTCCAGGAAGAACAGAGCAATATCGACGACATAGTTCAGCACCTGAATTTGACTTAACCACGAAAATGGACCCGCAGGGCAACCATGTATAAATATTAGTGCGCATGCCCAACATTTCGTCGCTTATTTTTGCTTTGGCACCACAGCGCCACTTACAGGCCTGGCATACATTTTGCAGCGTTTTCATGCATTCGTGTGGACGATCACATTTATTTTATGTCTCCGTCTTTACGGCAAACGTTTTGGAAAATATCAGCGTTTCGTGTTCGTTTTGACTTCGTGTGGACGGGGCCTTTAAGCCAAACCTTCCATCAGTGAGAGCAGTGAAGATGGAACAAGGCTGGGTCTTCCAACACGATAATGGTCTCAAACATGACACTCTGAAGATGAAGGAATGGCTTTGTAAAAAATTCTAAAAGGTCCTTGAGTAGTTTAGCCAATCTCCACATCTCAATTTCATTTGTAGATGGAGATAAAAGTTTGTGTTGCCCAGTGACAGCAGCAAAATATCACTGGAACATGAAGGAATGGGTCAAAATACCAGCTACAGTAAGAGCAAATCTGGTGAAGACTAAAGGAAACGTTTGACCTTTTCATTGTCATCTAAAGGTTATGCTACAAAGTACTAAGCTGAACCTTTGTCATTGATTTATATTTTCCACCATAATTTAGAAATACATTTTTTTTAAATCACTCAATGTGCTTGCCTGGATTGTTCCTCATTTTGTTTCTCATAGTTAAAGCATAACCATGGTAAAAAATGACATCTTTTTAAGTAGAAGAGCCGTAAAGCAATTGTAATAATTGGTCTATAAAGAAAAACCAAATAATAATTGTATTAAATGAAAAATATGCTTTTCATTTGCAGCCTTACAAACAAACAGGGTGTTTGTTGCATCAGAAAAAAAAGTGTTAGGAAGTTTCTTTGTTAAAACAAACCACATAGAAAACTGCGATAAGTTGTTTTTTATTAGAATTTATATAAAAGACCTGCACAATTTTTCAGTGGAGATCCTAACGAGCCACATCATCTCCAGAGCTATATAACTAAGGGGTCAAACACCTAGAATGACAGTCATAACTGAACTTTGACCTTTCTTTTTCCGTTGGGACAGAATGCTCAGCACCAGCTCTTTAGGTTTGCTCTAAGGATGCAAGTCCAACTCCCCCATCCTCCTTTTTTTATGTATGAGGTTTCATTCAGACCATATGCTCTGGTAGAAGCATCCTTACACACACACACACCTACATACGTAAACATACTTATATTCATGAGCTTGTCTTCTCATTGTTTCCATATGTTGTCTCTCCTGTTGTGCTGCTGCTCGCAAACTGGCCTTTTCACAGCCACCCTGCAACAACAGCCAAAGACTCCCCCATCCCATCCACCCCAGCACACCCAACCAAGCTGCCCTCAATCAATTACACACCCCTTATAGACACGCTTGAACCCACAATAGCCCCCTTCAGTCACAAAGCTTCTGCTGCTGGCTCCTCTTAATGGCCCCTGTGTGACTTTAGGGCCTCTCTGCTTAATAAGGTGTTATAATTAGACCACCAAGGGTCCGCCACAGATACCCCACCCTCCATTTTTTTAAAGACCAACTGAGCAAGAAGAGTTTGTGAGACAACAGATAAAAATCCATCAATGGGAACAATAGGAGATGCATCCTTTTCTTGCAAACTGTTGTGGAGAAATGTAAATCCTTCCCTTTACATGGCTTCAAGTCAAGCACATAAGACAGAGCAGGCTTTCTGTTTTGTATATAAAGAGTCTGAATCGCAGTGGAGGCTTCTCCAGATCAGAAAGAGGAAGAGCTTTTGACTAAAGCGGTTTGTCAGAGCCTGCCTCACAGCTATTGTAGTGCAGGTGTAGACAGAAAACAGAAGCACCTCTTTGTGCCTCCTAAGACAAACACTTGTGTATCTGTCTGGGCAAATCTGGGCAAAAGCGAACTTTGACTGGTGAATCTAAAAAATCTCATGGCATTAGTCCACACAGTGGCTCTAAAGTATACACGCCAATGTATAGAAGGCTATGTTGAAAAAGGGCTAATTTCCAGGTTTATCATTTCACTTATTTTGTAGGTACCCTAAGCTGAAAAATTCCTGCAGCCATATACCTCTTTAAACTAACATTTTGCTAAATTTTTCTATTTTGAATTGTTCTTCATTCTATCAGCACAAAGTTCACCTATTACTGACACTTTTCAATTTAGCATTACTAGTCAGCATCAATGTTTTTGCCAAAACTCCAAACTTTAATCTACCAACATTAAGTCCGTCCAAAAATTGGGACTACTGTGGGAACAGTCAAATGAGGCTACATGACATTTTCAGGCTCTCTGCATATTTAGGCCCAGATGACACCCAGTGGTCACAGGAGACATTGCAGCACTTTAAGTTCTGAAGCATTCAGGATTCTCATGGTGTCACACTTCAGACGCTGTTATTGCAAATTTGTTTAAGTCAGATCCTTGACTAGAACATGAATCCTCCGTTCTGGATGCTGCTCTCTAATTTTGGGTAACGAGCTCCATGGTCTTGTTCTGGATTGGCCTGTAATTGATACAAAGACAAAGGCAGTTCGATGCTGCCAAACCAAGTTCTGAGGCCATGGTGTTCAAATATGGCTCAGTGCCATCGCTGACGTCAGACCAGAACATGTTTCTGCCAAAATGTTTGGGTAGAAATTTAGGCACATCTGCCTGTTTGTTTTATTTTTGGACTAAAAGGCTTCTGTCCCAGAACCTTTCTCCTTAAGCCAAGGCACGCAGTATTGGACAGATTGTCGTCACACTGAAAAAACAAATTAGTTTTACAGGAGAATCCTTCACAGTCTCTTTTCCTTTTTAGTAAATAAATATTGTAATGTTCCGGTTTTACCACATATTCTGTTATTGATGAAAGTTGTCTTGATTGTGCCATGGTATATAAATAAAATTTCTTTCCTTTCCTGATGGATACCTCTAAACAATAACGAAAATCTATTGCTTTTTTCTAAATGTTAAAAATGTAGAAAGGTCAAGAATTCCTACTAGGAAAAAGATTAACCTTATTTGGAATTGATTAAATTAGACTAAAGTACAACTATAGCAAGTACTACAGGAAGGTATTTTTGTTCCCTCATCCTCCCTGCTTAAAAGAGATGTTTTTATTAGTTAAACAGGATAAGGGCTATATAATATGTGGAAAATGTTTATTATTTATTTGATGTTATTTTATTAAAGGCCTGCCTTGGATTTAATAATTTACTATTTAAAGTTGTTACTTAGAATAAAAACGGTTTTAATTAACCTTTGTCTCTGTGTTCTGCAGGGTCGCTGCATTAGTTTTCAACGGGTCAGAGACGATGAGCGCCCGGCTCCTCCCAGAATGCCTCACTCCCCCACTCCGCCCCCTCCTGCACCGCCAGCTGAGGAGCGACCTTTGGTCTCCAACTCCGTCCCCCGTACCAAGCCGCCATCTAGAGGACCCCGCACTGCTCCCTCCACGCTCACTGCACCTCCCTGCCGTTCGCCCCCTCCCGTGACACGACTCCCACCAGGGCCGCCCCCAAGCCGTGCACCCCCGGGGCCTCTCGGACCCCCACCGTCCCGGCCTCCGCCAAGGCTGTAATGATGTAGAGAATGGATGCAAATACAGTGTGTTGCAAAAGTATTCCTAACCCTCGAACTTCTTGATTTTTATTATTTTTTCTTTGGATTTTTTTTGCCAGGCTGACAAAATGTAAAGTAAACTTTTGAGGCTCGAAAAAAGAAAATGACCCCCCAACCTGAGACTTTTACAAAAAGAAATTTACATAAAAGAAAAAATTTACATAAAGAAATCTTAAAGGAACAGCGTTCAGCATGGGGGTGAGTAGAAAATGAAGGCTAATCATGTTTTGGGTGTACTATTCCTTTAAAGGTTTGAATCCATTATTATTGAGCCTCTGTCCATTATTTTTGGCTGCTTGTCTTTGTAGGCAAGTCTATAGTAGCTGTCTACTTATAGAATCTAAAGCGGTTGCTTAGTCATAGGCCTAATCCTAAACCAGCCGCTAAACACTAACCCTCCGCTTGCACGTTACAGGGAAGGATCCGCCTCATGAAGTGCCATCTTAAACCATGTAGTGGGTAGGGCCAATGGACCGCTCAGCCCTTAAAAAGAGTCTTCATCAGTTGCAGGCCTGCAGGAATTCGGCAGCACGAGTAACAGCGGCATGGTGGGGGAGGAAAAAAATAAATAAAAAAATCAATTCCAAAATGGAAGGTCTTTTTTGAAAAAGTAATATTTGACCTTATACATTTGTTTTAAAAAAGGGACAAATTTTAACTTTTACGTTAACCTGTACAACCGAACTAGCCACGCATATGAGGCGTCGCTGTGTTGCCATAGGAATGACTGCTTTCCTTTTCCGTTGGGAGGGAAAAAGACGTCCCCTTCTCCTTTATTCCCCCCCACCTTCAGTCAAGGCAGCTTCCACAGCTGCGAGTGAGACTTCATTGGGAGTTAAACTCTATTAAGGGTTAGTGGTTAGGAGGTGATTTGGGATTCAATAAACCTGGACATCTGCTGACATTGATTTTTCCTCCTGAAAGGTGAACCTCAGTCTAACTTTGCTACCACCATGTTTTACAGTGGAGATGATGGGCTGAAGGTGTTCCTCAACCGCCCTCTTAAATCTGTTGCCGTCTTTTAGCACTGCCCAATTTTAAGCCCAGTTAATGAGTCTTAGTTTGCCTTTGCAATAAGGTTCACATAAGCTCTATTTCAGTTAAGAGTTAGACGGAGAACTTTTCTCCGTTTGTTTGCATCCCGCTATTGGTAAGATGTTAGCAGGACTTGTCATGGGATTGTTTTGGCCCTATGGTTAGAGGCGTTCACAAGTTTTATAATTATTTTATAACCCTACCATGCTCTAAATTTCCCCCTGTTCTCTCACTTCAGAGAACAAAAAGAAAAACATTGGGACAACTTTACACTGCAATTAATCAGTATGAGATCAAAGAGGGCTGAACACACTCAAAACATTAGATTTACAATTTCACAGTTGTGCAATACTTAGAAAATGCAAATAAAGTGCAATCGAGTGTGTCATAACGTCATGAATCTTTCCAAGTTGAAAGGTCTCTCATACTTTTGCAAGTCTGTATCACATCTGAGGGAACGGTCTTTGATAAGCAAAGAATCTTCCAGGCCAGAAGCACAGACGTTTCTGAGCTCAGTGTCTTGTTGCTGGACAGCAAAATTCATCAATCTGATGACAAAACCTTAAAAAATACCAACAATGGATCGATCTGGACCGTTTGTACAGTAATAACATTAGAGTTGGTGAGTGGAAGTGTTACCAAACCTTAGTTATGTTGAAAGTGAGAGTTAAAGTTGGCATCTGAAAGTAGCAGGGTGTTTTTTTTTTCTTTTTTTTAGATTTATGCAGCACAATTATAATGCAAAAGGAGGGTGTTGTATAATAAAGCATGTAGTATAAATGGTGGTTGTGGGGTCTGTTGGCTTTTTAAAATTAGCAATTCATGCATTTTATACCATTTCAACCAAAGAAACCTTTACTGCAACTTACTTAAAATCTAGATTTAATGTTCAACAACCTTATTGCAACTGCAGGGCAGTTTCTCAGTGTGTTATTTATTGTAATAAAGGCCCGCTTTTCCTTAGCATCTTTTAGGTCTGTAGGTTTTTAAATCAACGCAGGGTGAGCTGCACCACGGCAGATAATAGCGAGCTTTGAACACCAAGTAAAAGAGTGTATTAGAAACGTGTATCTTCAGGGCATTTTGTAAACTGCATTTACTGACTGAAATGATCATTTGCATTATTTCTTCAATATTAACACGTCTGACTTCAATAAAGACATTTCTTTTTTATGCGTCGACTCTTGTGGGGTTTTTTTTATTCTGGTTTATGGAATTTTCTGCTGTAATATGATTCAAACCAGCAGGGGAACACATTTTATAAAAGTTATTGTTTGGATTTTATAAATACTTGATGTCTTAAAACTGCAGGGACATACTTAAGCAATTGATGCAATGTCAAGACTTTTAAACTTTACAGAAAATCCTTAGAAACATTGCATATTTTATGTTTTAAAATGTGTCTTCAAAAACCAAACAGCAACTTCTGTTTAGTTTGATGCCGTTTTTTCCATGAAAATCTCACTTAAATGATTCAACCTTTAAAGAATGTATGTGAAAAGTTTCCCTTTCAAGGTAACAGGCTGATAATAGTTTGCAGGGTTGTTGGTGTAATAAAAAATAAACTCCATCACGGTTTGAGTCTCTGTCAAAGACGCTCTCCAATTAGGTTTTTGCAGTTTAAGTCTGTCTCCAACATTCAGCTGATTTTTTTTTATCCAGTTTTTAATGTGCAGCCCAGTGGCTGCTCCATTACTGCTCTCCATTTACATGGAAGTAAACACAATTTATCAAGAGTTAAACCAACATTTCTATGCAGCACCCTCTAGTGGCCAAACGTGGCAATGAAAACAAAACAGTTTGCATACAGTCCTTGGATCCATTCACTGCAAGTCTTAATAAATGGGATGTTTTTTTCTTTTTTAACTTAAGTGACATCAAGGCAGAGGGAGCTTTTTCTGCATTAAATCTTATTTTCCTTCCCACTGAATGATGTAAAAGCTGCTGAAAGCTCAGAGCACCTTTGAAACACACGTCTAAGTATGATCTCATTTTATCACACGTTGAAAAACAAGTCCAACAAGCAACATAAATCCTCCTCTTCATGCTTTCCTTTTTTTCTTCTGCATCTTCTTTCCAGACTGTGCTCCCTTCTGCACACCTCTCACCATTCCCTTGAACTGACCCTGCAGTTTGGCTCGTTTTCTGTAAAGGAAAATAAAAAATGAAGTCATCGACCTAAGTCTGCAAACGAATGTAATTGGATGACAGTTGATGCTCAAACCTGCGATTGAGCTGATCCTTTTTTAGAGGGATGTAGGCGTAAGGATCCAGCTTTCCTTTTCTCTTCACGTCTCCTTTTCCTTTCTGTAAGAAAAAGAAAAATAGGAAAACGCTCAGAATGACAGCGTGGAACCAAGAAACAAGCTTCACTCACAGGTTCTTGTGATGGTTTACCTTTGATTTATAATCGCCTCCAACAACTTGGCTTTGTCCCAGAGGTCTGTGGATACCAGATCCGCCGGCTGTGACAGAAGCAATACCATCAGTATCACACAGGGATTATATTGGAACAGGATACTTATGTTTAAATCAGTAGTCTGAACCTTTTAAAACCCAAAAAGTCATTTTACCAGCTGAGTAAAAGTGGTTTAGACCTGCAAATATTCGATAAACTTTTAAGAAAACAGTTTTTTTTTGGGTAAACATCTCAGGGGGGTTGTGCTTCGGTGTCGCAGTGGTTAACCATGCACAACCCATGTACAAAGGCCTTAAGCCTGGTTTATGATCAGACATAAGGTCATCTGCATGTGTGTCGCAGATCACGCAGATAGGCCCCGCCCCTTGTGCAGACACTCTGGTGCACCTCTCCAAAACTGTAGTTGACCGCAGACAGGAGGCCTTTGGTTGCTCAAATCTACATCCGCTCTACTCATGCGTATTTCCTGTTTGGTACCTTACCAGCTTGTTTAGTTTCTATGACCACCTTAGTGGAAAACAACTCATGAAGCTTGAAGAGAGAGATACACGAGAACGCTGGGACCCTCTTTCTGCCTGGATCCCTGCTCTTTTTCGCCATCATGTCCCTCCATTGTCGCTCAAACTTACCCCTTGCGTATTTCCACTTTCTCACCGCCTCAGCCGCATCTAGACCCACAGCTAGTTTGTGATTGTCCCTCTTGCATTGTGGCATGGAATAACAGAGCAGACCACGCTTCAAAATTGGGCATACATCAAAAATATCTGCGTCATACCTGCAACAATCTCATTGCAACACAAAGCTGCAGGGGTATAACCAGCCCGGGTTCAAATCTCTCCCCCTCTCTCATACCCCTTTCCTGTCAGCCTACTGTCAAAAAAAACAAGCCACTAGTACTGTTTAAAAAAAAAAAGCAGGGACAAGGAGGCTGACGAGGGTGGAAGACAGAAAACTGGGAAGAAATCCCATCAGAAGCTGCAGAAGACAGAGACTAAAGCGGATCACACCAAATTTTAATTCTCCAATCCAATTTTTTTTCCATGTCACACCTACTGCGTATAGAAAGGCTCCAACTACACAGGGTGAGCAGATATTTCTGTCTCTGTGCCACACAAATTGAAACGATGCCCCACATTTGACTGCGACTGATTGTGAAAAGTTCAAAAACAGAATAAAACAAACACCCGACGCGGCTACAAAGCAAAGCTCCACTTCCTGAATATGTGCAGCATCTCTTAAACCAGAGCAGAGAATTTTTACTAAACATGCAATGGGAACTACTTTTAAAGAAAGAGGAAAATTCAGCAATAGACGCTGTGGGGCAGTTTGCAAATGTACGGGTTAAGCTGATAGAGATATCAGTGAACTTTGTTCAATTATTTTATTTATTTTCATAAAGCACTGACTGCCCCTCGTGTTTAAGAGGCTCAAAGAGGATCATTTTATCCTGAACTCCTATCATGAGTAAATTATTTTGTTTTATTTATGGTTTTTTTGGGGTCTTCCCCACCTGCTATATACGTGATGTGCAGGATGTGGTAAAACAAGCAAAACTATGCATTTTTTTCTGTCAGCTAAACCATTTCGATGCCGTTGGATGTCAAATAAAGAAAATGTTAAAAAGTGAAAAAGTAAAAATATTTATGTGAGGCCACACGCTGATGGCCGGCATTCTGCTCCCTTTAGCTACCTTTATATTTCAGCTGAGGCTCCACATCCATGTCCTCATCAAAATCATCATCTTGAATCTTTCTCTTCTGGGACTTTTTCTAAAGGTGCAGAAAAACAGGCGGTAAAGCAAAATGTTTCCAAAGCAGCAGCTTCTGATTCAGTGCAAACTTACAGATTTCACTCCTGCTTCTTCCAGGATATCATCCACCTCCTCTCGACCTGTGAGGAGAACAACTGCTGTGAGCATCTTCAAACAGTACGTTAGCATATGTTAGCGACGCCACTGGACTCCTCTCACACCTTTGTCTTTTCCTTCCTCGTCGTCGTCCTCTCTAATGATGAGCCGTCCATCTGAGGTCACTTTGAAGCCGTGCTCAAGCTTTGTCGTCTTCTTCATCTCTGGGTTTGTGGCTGAGAAAAAGAAGCAATTTTAACTCCTCAGAACCTCGTAATCATTTCCTGAATCAAACAAACTGCTGAAAAGTAGAAATAAGTAAAATTAGACTTTAGTACCTAGAACTCTTTGGGAAACCTTTGGATCCAAAAAGTTCAGAGGATCGTCGCCCTCTCCCTCCTTCAGCCATGCTTTTCCTTTCTGTTTGCCTAATTTCTTCTGGGCCTTACGAGGCTTTCCTTCATCCTCAGACAAATCGCTGTCGGACTCAGCAAGGATGTCTTCGATGCTGTTAAGAAGACGGCAAACTCATCATTAAATGCTTATACTAAGGGGAATGTTTGTGTGTGGATCTGGCAGCGTACCTTTCACTCTTTGCCTTGGGTGCCTCTTCTTCGCTCTCAGAGTTCTCCTGTTCCTCTGCAGCCTGCTTCCGCCTCTTGTTTCGGGCCTCAGCCTTCCGGATGTTTGTCAGCACCTTGTGATGCTCTGAAGGCAGCATGCTCTTCACCAGCTCAAACCTGGAAACAAAACAAAAAATTAATTAGAGCCTTCAGAGAAAGGAGGCTGTGCAGCTAACATATACATCTGTATAAAAAAAAAAGCGAAAACTCACCCAAACTTTCTGATAAATTTAGTAAAGATGTTCCTGAGTTTGGTTCTGAAGTGCCTTCTCACATCATCCGTGATGTTTCCAATGCCCTCCATCTGAACATAACCAGAGTTTAAGACTCTATTATAAAAATGTCTTTAAATCCTTTAACTTTTAACCTTAAAATCAATCAGATTAAACTTTTGACCTTTTTAGGGATTAAAAAGAAAATCAAATTAGTTTAGATCCAGATATCCTGGGCATGAGTGTAAAGTTATTTGTGGGCTCTTAGTTATACTTTTCAAATGGAACCATCAGGTCTCAAAGGCTGCTGGAGCACCAGTGTTACCATTTACAGCTAGTTAGCCTCAACATGAATTCAGAGCTGAAAAAGAAAGAAGCAGCAGCTTAGAAGAACGAGACAATTGCCGCCTGCAAAAAGACTTTAAGGGCAGGTGAGAAAGACGTGAGCCTCCTGTCTGGCTTTCAAACCCGAGTACACTGCACCTAATGTAAGGTTCCTTTTAGAAAAAGCTAAATCAATCTTGTTTTATTACATTTGATAAGTCAGAAATAGAGAAATGTGTTGAAATGTATTTTTACAAGTATTTCTGTCTTGTCATCAGACTTCATTATATAAAAAAAAAAACAATTAAATAACATACTTAGTGTAAAGTTGAATCTTGGATGGGGGGGTGAGTGTGGCCTATCCAGGCTAAAACATTTATTCCGAAACAGTAATAAAATAAAAGAAAACAGAGGGTCTCAATTTGACCCATAAATTAATTCTGCAGCTGATCGGTGGTTTCAATTTATTTTTACAATTCAGTCCAGGCCTGTTAAGTAAAAAAGGTAGCCATAGGTATTACCTGCACCCTACAGAATGGACAAACTAAGGTATAACCAACTAATGGTGGTCAGAAGGCTTAGTGAGTGACTTTTAAACTATGCAGGACTATTTTATTTCTTTTAGAATTGTAAAAATATCGATTTAATAGTTTCAAATGGTTTCCAGGTGAGGTAACCGGCAGACTGATGTAGAGTTCGTACCATGGTGGCTGCATGTGAACCAAGAGCCTTGGGGTCCATGATGAAGAGGATGACTTTGATGAAGCCTAAGGCAGCTTTGACCACCTCCCTGGTACGAGACGACAGCAACAGACAGATGTTCTGCAGCAGCTGCTCCATGGTGGACACCTCTATAGAGTCTGGGAGAGAAACACCAGTTGATTCTTCATTCATACCATAAGCCCAGGTTGAAGCACGCAGTGAGGCCTACCTTTGTACTCAAACACAAGACGGGTTAAAGCCAGAACGGTGCAAGTGATCATGGTGACAGATCCAGTGAGTCCAGCATACACCAGAGCCAAGTACTCCTCCATGGCGTCTACATCACAGACAGAGCATGTTAAACGCTGCACCAAACCCAACAGTACACACATTCTCAGGAACAGAATCACCTTTTTTGTTTCCACAGAAGCGGACAAAAGCGTTTCCTATTTCTATCAGAAGACTGTAGGCATTTTTACGAGCTCCAACAGAAACCTCCTTGGTGCAGATGATCACCTGAAGGACAGAGAACCTTATAAAAAACCAAGAACAGCAGCTCTGCCTGTGCCTGAATCCATCCACTCAGGTTTGTATCGGTACCTCTGGCAGCAGCGCAGTGATGAAGCCTTTGTGCTCCTCGTTTAACCTTTTCACGATGTGGATCAGACACTTGAGTCTCGGCTGAGAAGAACAAGAACAAAGCAGTCAGATGGACAAATAAAGCACTCAGGCCTACAGGATGTTCTCCTACAGTAACATTTACCCTCTTTGCAGGTGAAGAAGCATTTTTAAGAGAGTCCAGCAAGACAATTTTAAGAGTTTCCAGATTGGAGACGACAAAAGATTTACACTCGTCTCTCTCTGCTCCGCACATCTCCTCCAACACGCGGTAAGCCTTTTTCTGCATGCCTGGCTCTTTGGCCTGAACACAGATAAGACCATTGAATGGATCCAAAAAACAAGAAAAACTGAGTGAAACTCAAAAAATGTTTATAAATCAGTGAAAATGAGATTTTTAAAATATAAAAACTTACATTTTGTAGATTTATTACACATTTCTGCAGATTTTTACTATTGCGAGCCTCCACTAATTAAAAATATATTACAAAAAGTGCAAAAAATAAAATCTCCACAATAGGAAGGACTGCTGTTCAGCAGCAAGAAGCAGGTTTGCTTGCTAATGTCAGCGCTTAAAAAAGCTAGGTGCTTTTTAAGTGCTGTATTCAATGATATAACTGAAAAGTTGAATAAAAGAAAAAACTGGGATAGAGAGAAACACAAAGATTTACCCAAAACTTGGGATTAGTCAAACCAAACCCACGATCAGAAAGGTCTTAAAGCTACAGTGTGTAATTTTCAGCAACATCTAACGTCCAGACTGCAGAAACATGAACATCTCCCCCCCACCGCTTCTCCCCCCCAACAGTACGGCGAGCGTTACGGGACAAAATGTCTTCCACGACGTCCGCATCACCTACCTTCTCAAGTGATGAGGTTTGTTTA